GTGCAAAGTACTCTTCTCAAAAACTACTCAGAGTATTAATTACTTGTTAACAGACTGATGTTTTATTCTGTCGTCAATAGCAGGCATTCAACTCGATTCACCAGTATAAATATTTATGTTCAAAGCACATTTCTCAGATGAACAAGGTATAGAAAGGTAACTTGTTTTGTAAATAAATGTAGATATAAAAGAAGAAATTTTGTTTGTTAAAAGAATGACAAAAATGTTTCTGAACATGCGTCGAACCGTTTAAACTTTTCCCCATACACTGAACAACAGGCAGGTAAGTGTCTTAAACTCTTAGCATTTCTGTCACACTTTACTTTCTGAACCTTTTGTTCAGTTTCAGCAAGAGCTGGTTTTCTAAATTAACAGAGGCTTTCCGACTTCGTTTGGCTGTGAAGAGTAAACCAGCACAGCTAAAAAATCGTTCACACGCAGCAGAAGCAGGCAGAGCTGTGTTCAGTTTAAGAGAGAGGTTTTTGATTGCTGAGAAGGAGTGCAGCAGCTCCATGGTGTCTGTGGCACAAGCAAGGTAACCATCAAGCTCAACTGCACTTTGCAGCCTTCTGGAGATTGGTCTGGAGAAGAATTCATCTTCATCAGATGACTCTCTTTGCTGATCCTCACTCCCATGCTCTATCGTTTCAAGATGTTGTTTGATGTATGTTAAGGCTGTAATTGCAAGTAGATAATACTTAGAGAGCAAAATATGTGTATTTAGCAAATCTAATTTAAGAAAAGGGATCACATACACAAAAATGCTGCCCATACAGCTAACAAATAAAAACAATCCACATTATGTTCTTTAAAAAAATATATCATATTGGGAAACATATAACCCTACTGATTAAGAGCCATGTCACTATGATAGACCTATATCAGGCCAATGATCCTGATCAACTGATCCATCAATCGGGCTCTGGTACATGTCAGCTGAGAGCTGGAAGATTAATTTGAGATGCAGCTCAGCACTGTGTTCAAGTTTTGTTTTTTTTTTTATATAGGCCAGCTGATTGTAGGCCTGTGAGTTTTAAATGACTACAAATTTAATTTATTGTAATGACGGTGGTTTCCAAATAATAAGCTAAAACATTCCTACGAATTTAGCTCAATTATGCATGGCACACACCGCACGTTAGCTAGCTCCAGTCTTATTTTAATATCAGGCTAACCAATGGCGGTGACAATATCTTAGCCAAACTAATAACCTTAACACACATGAAAAATAAGAAAGGCAATATTGTACACGTATAGTTGTAAAACCTCTTACCTCAATGTGTTTATGCTCAAATTAAGATTAGTAACGATGAGTTTGTAAAATGCTGAACATCTTACGATAGAGGTCAAACAAAGTTTGCACTGCATCTGGACGCTGTCCCCTTTTCTCCCTCTGTACATGAAAAAATTCCTCCAGGTATGGCCACGGGGCACTGCGTCCTCCGTTTATTTACTCGTTTTCAGTTGACATGTTTTGATTTGAAATTAGAAATTTGATAAATACCTTTATTAGTCCCACGAAGGGGAAATTTCATAAGGCTGCCGACCTATTGCACGCATATGGCGGCGCCATCTTACCCTCCGACCATACATAGATTACACAAAACATCACATGGGGAAGACAGGTCAGAGAGGTATAACTCTGAAACTCACCACATGAGGAAAGATAAGGAGAAAAAACATAACTCCCCCCAGACTGAGCTCCAACAGGGAGATCAGTTTGAGAACAGAAAAAAAAACACCTCTGCACATAGCACATGAAAAAACTCTTAATACACCAAAGAAACACATGACAAGCAACAGGGGTGGGTAAAGGGTGAGAGACAGCCAATTAGACAGTACATCCGGGCCTGCGGCGTGGTCTCCTTGATCCACCGTCAGCATCGGAAGGGAATAAGCGTCGAAGGCGTTTGGAAAGGGAGGGGGGATGAGTGTGTGCATATCAGTGTATATGTATGTGTGTGCGTGTCCAGAGTTCAGCTGAGACAGTGTCCTTCGCCCTGCTAGGCTAAGTAAACAGTCTTCCAGCCAACCCAGGTGGCCTTGCATGGAATGGGAAGGAACAGTCTAAACACAGTCGTTATCAGGGTGTTGTTGTTCAGCTCCAGCCTTGAGACCGCAGCTGGCGCCAAAGGGGTATCCGCATAAGTGATGGTGTTTTTCTTTAGTGCGAACAGCTCATATGAATTTCAAAGCAGTTCTACAGTCCAACACTGGTCTTTCAATCTCCCGCAAGCTTCGCCATACTTGTGTTCTGTGATGTTGTCATTTCTTGTGCTCAAGGAGACAATTTCTGAGAACTCACGGCAGTGTGCCTCCCCGAGATGTCATCCAGTTTGCGCCCAGAGATGATATTTCGGGCTAGCCCTTCTGAGATGTATCCAGTCTGCAGTCAGAGATCATTATTCAGCAGCCGTAGCCTCTCCAAGATCTTATCCGTGCTGACTCAATGAGCCCATTTTGAGAAACTCACGCCTCTCCCATCGTTCCAATCCCAGCGGGCAGCCTTGTGGGGGTTTGAACAGCCGGTTCCGCTTTCTTAATTCTTCGATAAGTCAGGGCCAAGCCAGCTCCGATCAGCCAGAACCCTGTTACCATGGTTCCGAATAGGTAGATATCTTCAGCACTCAGGCTCACCCAAGCTCAAACTTCTCGTTGAGAAAGGGGTGTCAATTGCATTTAGGGACCAGTTGATCCAATCCATAATTCCTCTTTTATTTTAATCCCAACATGATGGGATTAAAATAAAACATTTATTAATCAGATTTGTAAATATAAACATGGTCTTATTTTGATTAAATTAAACTGATGGGGTGGTGTTGTGGTGCAAAAATGCAAAAACATACTACTTTGGTCCTACTTTTGCTGTCATGCATAAATGAGTTATTGTGGATATAAATTACATTTTACTACCATGAAATGAAAATACCAATGTTGTTTAATAGGATGTTATATGTGCATAAATCATTTTAGTGTCTTGGCCTGGCAACCACGTGGCATCCACTCTGTAGATAAGAGCCTTTAGGGGCCTAAAATGTACCTGTGTGCCAAGTTCAGTTGCTCAACTGTGTTAAGGGAGTTGGTGGATAAAGTAGCAAACACACAGACAGACAGACACTTCATGTGTTAAAGTGAGATGCACTAATGTCAGGATTTAGCATGGAAATGCTTAGTTCCTCAATAACCCGCAATATATTTATATGTAAAACATTCAGTTCAGTTCAAGAATGAAAGTTAGACATTGACATGACCATTATGGACTGATATGGGCATCCAGAGAGGATTTAAAAAGGTATTGCGTTGGTGTGTTTTAGGTTTCTAACCTCATGATGTCTCATGTACAGTACATTACATAGTGAGTGCTTAAAATGAAGACTTTACTAAAATGAAACAACACATGATCTGATTAATATGAAGGAAACCCCTGTGAAAGAATCATAAATTACATAAACTAGTCTGAAAAAATTTAGGAAAAGGGATCACATACACAAAAATGCTGCCCATACAGCTAACAAATAAAAACAATCCACATTATGTTCTTTAAAAAAATATATCATATTGGGAAACATATAACCCTACTGATTAAGAGCCATGTCACTATGATAGACCTATATCAGGCCAATGATACTGATCAACTGATCCATCAATCTGGCTCTGGTACATGTCAGCTGAGAGCTGGAAGATTAATTTGAGATGCAGCTCAGCACTGTGTTCCAGTTTTTTTGTGTTTTTTTTTAAATATAGGGCTCATGCTCCGTCGTTTCAAGATGTTGTTTGATGTATGTTAAGGCTGTAATTGCAAGTAGATAATACTTAGAGAGCAAAATATGTGTATTTAGCAAATCTAATTTA